GAGTAAAAACGAATCGAATTTTTTTCCCCGAGTTGAGCTGAGCTAAAGCTTGATCGAATAAATGGGGCTCGGGCTTTTTCGAGCAGAGCTGAATTGGCTCTTTTTTTTGCCTGAAAATTCTAATTTTTTTTAAAGGAAGCCGTAGCTGCCTTATTTCCAAGACACGAGCCAAAATGGTCCGTGTTGGTATAGCTAACACGGCCTCGGCCCAGGCCGACACTTGAAAATGAGACTCGACCTAAGTATTCGCTCGATTTCAACGAGTCGAGAGTCGTTCAAGCTGACAAGTCGAATTGATATCCCTAAATTATAATAAGTGTGTATCAGAGAGAGAGAGAGAGAGAGATAGATAGATTTCTTTTCTTTCTAGATTTCTTTTCATCTTCCAATTAAAGGCATGTGGTAAGTTTTGGATAATTTATTGGTAGTGAAGTTGCAAAATGAATTTAGACAGATTTTAAGCAATATTACAATGTGCATTTAAGATTCTTGATTGGAATTAGTTATTATAAAAATCAAACTTTTAATATATTTTGATTAAAGTTAATGAAATATTTGATTGAAAAATTCGTAAAAATTGTGGATTTCATAAAATGGATGCAACACCACAATGGTTATGTTTTAAAATTCTTGATATTTTTATTATGTCTAATTAGTTTACTATGGATCAAATTAATGATGCTGTTAATAAATTATGATATGATAGATCTTAACATTGAAATATGCTATCTCGAATCTATCGAGTTTAGAGCATTTTTCAAAAGAGTCTCTATTTATATATTAAAAAAAAAAAGTCTTATGAATAATAAATGACATCATTAAAATTTAGATATACACTCCAAAAAATATTTTTTTTTTATTTTGGTTCTTCATTTTTACATTTTTCAATAAACATTTGATGTCTCCTCATCCTTTATTTAACATATTTTTTTATATGTCAACGACCAATCAATTTAAATATAATTTGAATAATTTATGAAGTGGAACATTGAAATATGCAATTTATTAAATCTCTGTTTGTTCCCATATTTCTAAAATCATTTATTTCAAATTCATTTTCAATCACATATTTCATATTTGTAGAGTTAAACGTACTCTTTATTTTTAAAAGTTAAAATAGAGAGTCTCTTGGAGCTTGTTTATA